ACAAAGAGAAAAAAAAGGAGAAAAAATAAAAATGGAAACCGTAAGGAGAAGAGAAAATAAATGAAAATAAAATGAAAAAATGATAGATATGTATCGAAACTCGATGTTCGATTTCCAACACTGCTAGAGCCCTTTTTCGAGGTTTCTCCGCCCGTTGACCTCGCCTCGAAACGAGACTTGCACCTACCGATAGCCCTGTGTTGCGAGGGCCCTCCCGGCGTGCCGCGCGCTCTCGGGGCGGACTGCGTGCTGCGCTAGCGAGGGCAGAAAAGTCGCGTCTCCGACATCTACCATGGATCCACCAATCACACCCCGATTTCTTGACATAGCAGGCCACTCATGGATACATTCATTCGGCAAGCAAGCGGCTGACGTGGATTGTACATGTGGGCTGGCTACACACCGCACACCCTGCCACACACGACAACCAAGCCACCAAGTCTCCGCATGAGACGAGACAACGTACTCTACTGCTGTAGTGCGTCTCCCTTTTGATCCAGGCGAAAGGCGGGGGGGTCAGCGGCCAGTGTCGTGCGCACAGCTGTCTGCAAAACTACACCCGCCCGAGAAAAAAAAAAATGAAATAAATACGTTGTTTGTTCCTCCCTCCGTTTCACGGAAATACTTTTTTTTTTTTCCCGGAAATATCTTCTGGCCTACCGCACTTTATTGTAGAGCGCCTACCGGCACATGCTCCGCATCCCACCAACACACACCAACACACAACTTCTACAGTCATCTGACTCCCAAAACCCTCTAGCAGAACATGTAGAAATACTACTGCTGCTGCTGTGGGTTTCCATATTTTCATAAATAGGCAGAAAAAGTTGTCTGCTTTTCTCTGCTTTTGCTTATGTAATGTACACACAACGTGCTGAAAAACTAAAAAAACTACCGTATGCATACATACATACGTGATGATTTGCGCTGCTTTTCCTCGCCTCCCGTACTCAACCTCGATTCTCATCACCGACGGCTGTACATCAGATCACATACGAAGACCGAACATCCGAGAAGTAGCGAACTTTATTCAGCTACAACGTCTCGCTGAGGGGGTGGGTAGCACATACATGGGAGAGAGGGGGGGAAGACAGAGAAAAAAAGCTGGTTGCTTGATGTTTCTTTCTTACTTAGTTTAATTATTCGACACACTCCCCCCCCAGTAACCCCTCTCGTGTCTTATGAATAAGTAGAGCATTTTAGGGGTCGCTCCTCTGTTTCTTATTGAGACGTTTCTTCTATGGTGTGGCCCAGGTGGAGCTATTATATTATGTTACGTAACCCTATTTTCCTACTTTTTTCGTGGAAAGTGAGCCTTTTTGTTTCTGAAAAACAAACTTAAACTTCTTATCCGAGCAATTAACCCTTACTTACTACGTGACTACAGGCCGATTCAGCTCCGTTCTCAGCGCCCATCACTTTGGGTGCCCGAAGATCGCCGTTGTGCCTCGGCTAAGAGTAAAAAAACTACATAGAGACCAGCAAGGAGACACAGGCAGCCCACCCCAAAAGCACGCTAATTATCAGCAATCAATGCGCACAGGACTCACATGGTACAACACTATTATTCACCCATGCCTCATCTCTCTGACGTGGGACAGATATCCTTTCCAGATCCAATCTACTGCCTATACTGCTGCTGCTGTAGTCTAAGATTCAAACGCACAATACCACCGGAGAGAGAGGGTACATACAGCACCCTTAACATGTGATCAACCCGGTGCCGCATCCGCGGGGGAGAGCAGAGAAAGCGCACACCGGAGCCGATGCTAACGTACTGCCTCGGTGCTTGATGTTGTTGTGGTTGCGGTGCGTGTGGTTCCCAGTATTGGGAGTCAAGGGTGGTTCGTCTGCTGTGTGCAAAATTTCGCTCAAAGGCAAGGGTTTTCGGGACTACAGCTCCGATCACAGCTCCGATCACAGCGCTCTATTTGTAGTACAGAATAGTAAAAAATTATCACGATTTTTATGCATTTTGTGCGATAGTGGATGATGGTCTCGATTCTCTGATGAGCGGGCCGTTTTTTTCGTCGAGCAGCAGTACTACACAGTAACTGTACTCCTGTTCGTCACTCTTACATATACCGCGTCCCCATCCCTGTGAGCCCCACACACACATGGACCCACTGCTGCACCATCCTTCCTTGCCGCCGTGATTTATGGGTGTACACGCATGCTTGGAAGATCTTTGACCGCAGAGAGCCAGCTAGCTGTGGGGAAAAAAACAAAAAAATCCAAATTAAAACCCAGTCACGTAAGGGTTAAATACTATGTCCTCCGGCCGTCGCGTAACATATGAATATATATATATATATAGTCATTGTGCGTCTCTGCTCTTCGAACAAACAAACAAGTTTTTCCCTCTTCGCAGCATTTTTTCTTCGTATCTCTCATTTCAAAACTCCACCCGCACACACTTGCCATCGCCATTGAACCTACGAGCGTAGCGGCGACCGCGAAGCGGTACGCCGCGAAGCGCCCTTCCTTGTAAATACTACCTTCTCTACATACATCCCTTTCGACTGAGGTTATATCGTTATATCTCGAACGGATAGTCTTTCTGTGAGGTTATGTTTTCTTTCTAAAAATACTACCTTCTTTATGCGTGTGGTGTGTGGTGTGGATATTATGCACGATATGCGAGGCCTCTACTCCTTCTCTCCATCTCTTCGGCGCGTACTCGTGTTTCCATATCCAGTTGAATATCCGGACCAACATGTTAATCATCCCCTCCCCCCCCTGTTTCAAAAGCTCATTCACAATTCCATCAGCCCCTGCCGCTTTTCTATTCTTCTTGAGTTTCGCTACGCAGTCCTCTACCTCTTCTCATGTGAACTCTCCCTGCAACCCGTCTACATCACTACGTTCCCTCCGAGATCTTTCAACGTTTTCCTCTGCCCACGAGTTGATTTCCTTCTCAAACTCCGAGTCGAAGTTGTCGTTGGTGGTGGGTGTCCCAAGTTTGCGGTAGTGCTCTACTAGTACTTCCCTCTTTCCTTTAGAACTGCTTACCATCTTACCCTCGGCAGATCTTAGTGTCGTTATTTCCGTGTCTCCCCCTCTTTTCTTGCCCACTATCCCTTGAATTCCTACCCACATTTGCTTCATCCCACCCTCAAAATCTTCGTTAGTCTTTTGGACTACTTCCTCCCACAACCCTTTCTTCTTCTTCACGACCAACTCCTTCACCCTCTTTCTACTTTCAACATACTCCTTCCATCCTGCATCTGTTTTCCCTGCCGCATATTTTGCGTGTGACTCTCTACGTACTCGATCGAATTGCTTGCTTGATTTCTTCGTCCCACCACTTCACTGCTCTCTTACAAACTATCAACTTTCTACCTAGAACTCTATCTACTTGCTGTTGTGTTTACCAGCTCTTCCCACCCTTCTATGATTCTAGACCCTGCCTGGTCCCGGCCTTCGGCATCCTTCGGTGTGCCTCTATCAACTCCGAGAGTTTCTTGTCGTTTATAGCCATCTCTTCTTGAAACTCTACCCTCGTTTCTTCTACTTCTAGCTTATCTATTCTCCATCTGTACATTTTCCTGCGTCGCCTATCTGTATGACTCTCGTCTGTTGGTGGGGGGGGGGGTCCAGGCAGGGGGAAACCGGAGCAAAATTGGCAGGTGTGCCTGAAGGACGACCTCAAGATGTTCGAAGCAGAGCACGGATCTACGGACGCCGAGCCATGCTTCTTCGGAGTCCCGGAAACAACTTGGATGGAAGCAGCGAAGGTGGACCGGGGGGTACCGTGGAATACAGGGGTACTGCAGGGAGCGAAGAGGTTCATGGCCTCCTGGCACAAGAAGGAAGAGGAGGCTAGCCGACAACGAGCGCTCAAACGAAACAAGAAGCCCGACAACAACACGGACACGGCAACAACCACGGGGGTGGGAGGGGTACAGCAGGCGGACGAGACGGCGAGGAAAGGCAGGAAACGCGAAGAGGCGGACCGAGTGGCGCGAAACACCGTGCCGACATGAACCTCTTGCTTGACTTATTATTATCCCCCTCCCCCCCCCCGGCACTGTACCATTGCACCAACCCCCCTCGAGCGATGACATGCATGGGCTGGCTCGAGTGGCCCGCTTTGTCTTGTGTTGTTTTGTGTTCTGTTTGTTTCTTTGCTCTTTGTCGCTACGGAGTGTGTCTTTCTCTGTCTGTGTCTTTCTCTTTCCCTTTGCTTTTCTCCATCTGCTCAATTCCTTTCTTTCTTTTTCTTTTCTTCTTCTTTTTCTCTTTCTCTTTCTTTTTCTTTTTTCTTTTTTCTTTTTCTATTCGTTTCCAGTCTAGGGTTACCTCGCATAGAGTGCAGAGAGGCGAGCGGAGTGGCCTAGACTATCTGTCGTTGACTTTCATTGACCATGGTCGTGCCGCAACGTTCTCCTTCCACCAGCCACGCACGCACTCACATCTCACATCCACCCCTCTTCTACATAACCTCTCGCATTCTTCAGACACATACACATGCATACGCCTATAGACTACTTCTAGATCACACCACCCCGGAACAACACGGAACGATATGTTCGCCACAGTATCTAGACCCCGTTCGCCAGGCAGAGCCGGACGATGCGTTCCAAGAAAAATCTTATGGATAGTTGTACCACACAACACACAACACACAAACGATGAAACCGAAGGACTGCGTGTAGTTACTTCTTTAGGGTAATACGACAGACAGAAGATGACAATAGGAGTGGCTGTCGTGGTTTTTGTTTCTCGCTGCAGATCGCAAGGTAGGTATCACTGGACCCAACCATTTTTTGTGACAAGAAACGGCAACCGGGGTGACAGAAATCGGTGAAAAAAAAAAACGACAAGCCCGGTCTCCGTACTCTCCGCATGAGCCACCAGGGAACGGTATCGGTTGTCTTGGCCAATCAGCTTGTTGCCTCGGGGTCAATTCCTGAGTCAAAGAGTCAAATCCTTGTGTACCGTAGGCCACCCAACCTTGTCTCACATTCCTATTAAAATAGAAAAGTCCCGGTCTGTCTCTGCTCAGTACCCCTTTAACATTTGTACCGGTCCAACTGACTCGGACGGACGCCTTCACAGGTCAACTACGCTCAAGTACCCAAAGAACAATGGTACATACTCAAAACAATGGTACATACTCTACCTAGAGAAACAAAAAAGGAAGCAAAACGGACTCAGAAAAATCTCTCCGAAATCTCTTGTCGGATGAGGTTGCTTGTTGGTTTTAGCCCGGTGTTGGTCTCAATTTTTGCCACCGTACGTCCACCCAGCTGTCTGGAAGCTGCGCTTCCGGATACTTACTACTACACGCGTGCCACAGAACGAGACACCTTCTTACGCTTTGTTGAAGGGTGTTCGTATTGGTATTGGTATGGGTGAACCCCAAACCGACCATGAGAAGAGGAGAGGCGATGTATTCGCGTTCCGACCGAACAGACAGCAACCTGATCCACAGCAACAACAGACTCGAGACAGCACTCCTCACTCCCGTGCCTTCGTGGGCAGAGGAACCGTTTTTCGTTCAGCTCGCAATTAGCGCCTGCCCTCCAACTAACACGGGCTGGCTTGACACGGTGTTCGACGGCAGGCTGGAGACACGGTGAGTGCGGTAGTACCACGCCGGTTCACCCTCACTTCCATCTACCCGCACTTTACCATGCCCACCGCCGGTGGAATCTCCGAGCGAACCATGTCTAGGAAATCGCGAAAAAGTGACGTTGAGTGCTTCCTTTCACTCTGGACATTCTACCAGAAAAATACGTCGAGGGGTTGTATACGGTACAGCAAAAAAAAAAAAAAATGGGGACAAAGCAGCACGTTCCAAGAAAGACAAGCAGCAGCAGTCAGCCAGCCCCGCCGTGAGAATAAACATGCGGCACTCTCCTCTTATCAAAAGAAAAAAGCGCACTTGTTGTACCTCTAAACACAGCTAACGAAAGAAAAATAGAGACAGGCAGGGAGAAACCTGAGCGCTGAGGAACACCGCACCTTCGGAGGATGTGTTTCCCTCTGCTTCTCCCGTAGACAAGAGCAAGCGTGATAAATTTATGAATAAAAGAAAAAAAACATGGAACATTTGTATGTGACGAAGACAATTAAGAAAACAGAGAGAGCTTGTAGCGAAACATTCCTCCACCATGAGATGCTTGCCTTCTCGATCCTCCTCTCTCTATCTATCCAAGAGGACTATCAAATACTCGTTACCTACTACCAAGACCGACAGATGGCGCGTGGATGAATCGAAAGACTGCGGCGCTATCGCACCCAGGTGTGTGCCCCCATCACGAGAGCCCAAAACAACAAACAACAGAACCGCAGCTTACGTCGAACAACCTCGATCATCCCAGTCGGAACCATGATTGCCCGACCAACCAACCAATAAATACATGCAGAACGGCCATCTTCTGCTAAGGGAGACCATCTTCGTTCTTCATTGTTCTTCCCCAGCGGCGTGTCTCAGGATGTTACCCTCCGCGTGGGCTGCTCTTCGTCGATCTCGTTGTCCATGAGGGGGTAGTGTCTTCGCAGGCGTGAAAGCGAGTTGTGCCCGCGAAACGACGCAACACATGAAGAAGATGCACACGAGGAGCGGGAAGAGGGGGGGGGGGGGGGGGGGGGGGGGTC